CGGCTCGCCGGCGCGGGGTGGGGTCCGGCGGCAGCAAGAAGTACTTCAGGGTGGATCTGAAGAGCGGCGCGCTGCTGGTGAGCGAGCGGATAGACCGGGAGGAGCTCTGCGGCGCTGTGTCTCCCTGCTCCTTGAGCTTTGAGATCGTGGTGGAGAACCCGCTGGAACTGTATAGCGGCGCCGTAGAGATCCAGGACATCAATGACAACGACCCGGTTTTTCCGAGCAACCAGGCGAGGCTGGAAATCAGCGAGTCGGTGGCTCCCGGAGCGCGCTTCCCGCTAGAGAGCGCGCAAGACCCCGATGTGGGAATTAACTCTTTGCAGACTTACCAGCTGAGCGCCAACCCTCATTTTGTGCTGGATGTGCAGACGAGGGGGGATGGCAGCAAGTATGCGGAGCTAGTGCTAGAGAAGGAGCTGGATAGGGAGGAGCAGCGGGAACTGCACTTGGTCCTGACCGCGCTGGATGGAGGCAGCCTGCCGCGGTCGGCCAGCGTGCAGATCAGCGTTGAGGTTGTGGACGCCAACGACAACGCCCCGGTCTTCAACCACTCCACCTACAAGGCGAGCGTGAGGGAGAACACGCCCAGCGGCGCCCTGGTGGCCAGGATCAGCGCTTACGATCTGGATGATGGGCCCAACGGAGACATCGTCTTCTCCTTCAGCAGCCACACGCCAGCAAAGGTGAGAGAGCTCTTCGCATTGGACTCGGCCACGGGAGAGCTGAGGGTCAAGGGGCAGCTGGACTACGAGGAAACGAAGCTGTACGAGATTTACTTACAGGCTAAAGACAAGGGCGTCGTACCCGGCGTGGCTCATTGCAAAGTGCTGGTGGAAGTCGTGGATGTGAACGACAATGCTCCGGAGGTGACAGTGACCTCCGTGTACAGCCCCGTGCCTGAAGATGCCGCCCCGGGAACGGTCGTAGCTCTGCTGAGCGTAACAGACCTGGACTCTGGAGACAATGGTCTGGTGAACTGCTTTATTTCCCCTGGGATCCCATTCACGCTCAGCTCCTCCCTCAAAAACTACTACACGTTGAAAACCAAAGAGGCTCTGGACCGGGAAAAAGCATCGGAGTATAACATCACCATCACGACCAGGGACTCAGGCTCGCCACCCTTGTCTGCAGTAAAACAGGTCCTGGTGCAGGTGTCAGACATCAACGATAATGCACCCAAGTCTCTCCAGGACTCCTACGATGTGTATGTGCCAGAGAACAACGCAGCTGGCATCCCCATCCTTAACGTAAGTGCCACAGACCCGGACCTAGGGCCCAACTCCCGTCTCTCCTACGTCATCCTGCAGGGTGACCCCGCCGTGGGCCGCCTCTTCTCCATCAACCGGGAGAACGGCACCCTCTACCTGCTTGCCTCCCTGGACCATGAGGACCAGGTGGAGTTCAGCATGACAGTGCAGGTCCAGGATGGTGGCTCTCCCCCCCTGGCCACCAACCTATCGGTCAGTGTGTTTGTCACTGACCTCAACGACAATGCCCCAGCCGTGCTATACCCCCGGCCCAACGCCACCTCCTCCTATGCCGATGTGGTGGCGCCAGGCACTCCCGCCGGGCACATGGTCACCAAAGTGGTGGCGGTGGACGCGGACGCGGGGTACAACGCCTGGATCTCCTACACCCTGCTGCAGGCCACGGACCCCAGCCTCTTCTCGGTCGGGCTACACAGCGGGGAGGGCTTCACAGCCCGCCAGCTCCGCGAGGC